TGTATATTTATAATCAAAAATTATTATAAACAAATTAAAAATATTCTATTATATATAAATTAAAAATGTGATCTTTAAAAACACTAAATGATGAAAGTTAAATTAAATGCTTTTCATTTTCAAATCGTAATGAAATATTTCTTGTATGAACAAGATTTTATCAACTCGATGTTAACGTGTAAAAAATTTGAAATGGTACTTGACCGATTTCGATACAACCCAATTCCCGTAAAATCCACTAAACTGTTTCCATATATGGAGACTCAACACCTTTACACAAAATTTGATGATATTTTCGCAGGAATATCCCGACTTGTCGTCTTGTACAAAGTGACTTACTCTGAAACAAAAACTTTATTTCCGGACTTTGATGTAGAGTTTAAAAATGTGACTATATCTTCATCTGATATCAAAAAACAAAATATCACAACATTTGACCAAATACCCAAAACCATAAAAATATATGAATATAAATTTTTAAACACTTTTGATTTTAAAGAGTTTAGTGTCCCAACACATATAACTGAATTGTACCATTCTTGCTTTTACAATAATACCACACTCACTTCAGTGACACTGTGTGACGGGTTAAAAGTCATACCGTCGTCTTGTTTTGATTCTTGCAAGAATTTGGTTTCTGTAAATGTTCCAACCACAATTATATCAATTGAAAGTTCTGCTTTTGAAAAATGTGGTATTATCAAATTATCAATTCCTGATACTGTCGTTTCGCTCGATTTAAATCTGTTTAAGTCATGCGCTAATTTAGAGGAACTTGTTATATCCAAGAACGTTACTGTTTTGCCATATTACATGTGCGAAAAATGCACCAAATTAACACGCGTTGTACTCCCAGACAATTTGATTTCAATTAAAGCACAAGCTTTTTGTGATTGCAGTCAACTTGTTGATATTACCATCCCAAACACTTTACTTCGAGTTGAGTTTGGCACTTTTTCGAACTGTGAAAAACTTCAGGAACTTAAATTTAATGAAGCATGTGAAATAGAAGAAGGAGTGTTTAGTGGTTGCACTAGTTTAACATGTTTGGTTGTTCCAAAAATCAATGGAATTATTAAAAACACAATTTCTTTAAATGAAGTTGATGTGTATGAACGGTTGAATGAAACATTTGAGTGTACTTTGGATGACGATTTTGGCTCAGAAGGAGAGTTAAAAAGTGACCGAAAGTATACAACACTCGATAGGTCATACGACTGCAATTTTGAATGTACAGACTCGGTGTTTTTTATACCCGATAATTTCACAAAAATTGAAAATATGCTATTTAATGAAAATCATGATATCCACGTTATATATATGTCTCAGAGCGTTTTCGATATCAATCGTGTTTTACTTAACAAATTTGATAATTTGGAAGAAATTTATATGTCTTCTCACATCGAAAAATTTAATAAGTCAATATTTGAAAATTGTGTCAATTTAAAACACATATTTAACATGCAAAATGTGACTAAAATACGCCAATTTTGTTTCAAAAATTGTTCATCTTTGAAAAGTCTTCACATCAACAAACGTGCAAAAATTTCGTTTGGTTGCTTTGAAGGATGTGTTGGATTAACTTCTCTTGAAATTCCAAACAACAACAAAAAAGTCACATTTAAAGTAACAAATGAAGACGAAAAAGTCTTAACACCTTTTGGGTATACTTTTGGTGATCACGTCTGCTATTTCAATTCAAAAGACACGTTTTTAAAATTTGATGAAATTAAATATAAAAATTATTTCTATGAATTACAAGGAAATTTTTCAAGTGAAGAACTTGACACTATTGTAATTCCAAATAATGTCACAAAAATATCAACTGGCTTTTTTGGTATGGACGCATTAAAAAGTATTGATTTGGGATGCGTGAAAAAACTTGAAGATGAGTGTTTTGAGTGTAGTGTAAATTCTTTAACCATTCCAACAACTCTGACGAAAATTGGAACAAAATTATTCCAAAGTATAATAAAACCAACTTCAATTGATTTTTGTGGAAATAAATATTACACGGGAATTGTCACAAAACAAGAACAAAATTTCATTGAAAATTGTGGAGTTCAATGCACCAATTTAGAATTTGAGTTAAACAATTTTGAATATTACAAATACATTCCAATGGGTTACAAAGTGATTGGGTCAGACCGATATCAATTACCATTATATCTTACACAAATAATAATACCAAATGGGGTCTCACAAATCAATTCACATTGTTTTTCTAATCTTCCAAATTTAAAGAAAGTCGAGTTTCCAGAGACACTTCGCAATATCAATTATGGCGCTTTTGCCTTTTGTTATTCTCTTGAAAACGTCACATTCCCACAAGCACTTCAATCAATCAGAAATTTTGCGTTTTATTATTGCATCAATTTTACACAAATTGTACTTCCAATAAGTTTGGTTGACATTGGCAGTTCCGCATTTTCAAATTGTGAAAACGTAAAGAACATTGATGTTCCAGCTTTTGTTTATTCGGTAAGTAACGTGTTTGATTCATGTTATTTACTCACTTCAATTAACATCAAAAACACTCATGAAAATAATATTACGTCTACAACTTATAACGGACCTTTTACAAATTGCAATTTAGAAGAAATTATCATTCCTGAGAGTGTTACTGAAATTAAAAATTCGAGTTTTGAGGAGATGATAAAATTAAAACGTATTATTATTCCAAACAATGTGAGTTCAATTGGAACACACGCGTTTTTGAATTGTTTTCATTTATCCACAATCAAACTTGGTAATACAGTTGAAAGTATAGGAGGGTACTGTTTTGAGAATTGTGTAAGTTTGATAAACATCGAAATTCCAGAGTCTGTCGTAAAAATTGGTAATGGCGCATTCAAAAAATGTGAAAATTTAATTGCAGTGACATTTGGACGACAAATACCAAAATGCGAAATTGATATATTCGACAAGTGCAAAATGTTAAAGGAATTTTACGTTAATGGGAAAAAGGCAACTAAAGTGAGTTTACCCGTCACATACAAAATAGCTCACAATTTGACAGAAAACGGAGTTTGTTGTGATACTATTTTCTTCACTCGAAAAGACGTCAAAAAACACTTAGCAATCGTTTTTGAAAATGGCAAAAAAGTTGGAAAAATTCCAAACAATGTTGTTGGACTTTGTGATAATTGTTTCAGAAAATATATAGAGGTGCAAACAATTTTCGTTCCCAAAAGCGTTAAAAGTGTTGGGCGATTTTGTTTTTATAATTCGGTCGGAAAAGAGAATGTAATTTTTGAAGATAAAAATGCTGTCATAACAACTAAAGACGAATTTTTGTTTTGAAAGATAAAAAAATTATTTGGTTTATGTTGTTGTTTTTATAAATTAATCTTGTTAGTGTTAATTTCTAACTTGTTTTTATTGTATAACACTTATTATTTGTGCAAATAATAGTAAAATCAATTGGTTTTAGTAATTAAAATATTATTATAAATATGACTAAAATGTAAATAAAAATTAAATTTTTTTATATAATAATTAATTATTATATTAAACTAATGGATGATTGAATGAATAAAAACAGTGAACAATATCACTATTTTATTGTTAATTATTTTTAATGAATATTTTTTTTAAAAAAAATAGTAAATAAACTCAACCCACCTATTATATAATATCGAATTAAAATTGAAATACCAAAAGATTTTGTAACATACAGGGATTATGCTTGTTATGACTAAAAAACGTTAAAAATATTGTTACAAATTATTCAAATTATACATGTGGTATCATTTTAAAGGTTATAAAAAAACACAACACGACAAATTTGCAATGAATAAAAACAATTTGATATAAGTTTACAAAATTTAAATATTGTTTTAAATTGTGTTTAAGTAACCATAACACTATTTTAAATATCAAATATTGAAACATAATTGTAATACAAGTGTTAAGAATAAATCACTTACTTATTAGAACAACAGAGCTAATAAGAAGAACGCCAAAATTGATACAATTTTATAAGCTCTATTGCACTTTTCATCAACTAAATTATAACCTTCAATGCATTTTTTGCATTTATCATTTTAATCGCAAGTTTCACAATTTTCAGTTGAACAGTCTTCACATTTTTTAATTGGTGTTTCAACTGGTTTTCCGAGCGAACATTCGTCAACACATTTCCCTTCGAGTGAAATATTTTTTCCCGTATCTTTACATTTCGTGCATTTTGTATAATAATTACCAGAAGTGCCATCACTCAGATCAACACAAGACAAACAATCTGCCCCACATACACCATCTTTTGAGTCACAAGTGGCATCAATTGTTATTTTTCCGTTTGAACAATCACTGCATTTGTTGCCGTCCAAATATTTATATGGACTTAATTTATCACATGTCAAACATTTTCCATTAGTATCTATTTGGTCTGCAGCACAAGTTAAACAGTTGTAGTTTTCATAACAAGAAATACATTCTTGTCCATCTATATATCCTTTGATATCAGGTTTACATTTATAGCACGTTTGGGATTCGGGATCACATTTCCCACAGTTTATATTACATGCAACACATTCACCTTCACTAATAAAGCTTCCTTCGGCACATTCACCGCAAGTTGTTCCATCCTTTTCACATTTCAATCACAAATTGGATTGAGGGGTTTGACATGCCACAGACGGGGTACACAAATTTGAACTGTCTAAATAATACCCTTCTTTGCAAATAACACATTTGGTCGTATCAGTTTCGCTGCAAATATCACAATTTTTTGAGGAGGTTCTGATGTACAAACATTAGCATAAGTTTTAATACTTAAGCATGTTAGACAAAAGAACAGAAACATTGAAATTATCGATTTTTGGTTAATTTAAATATTCTAAATTGTGATCTTAGATTTTAATTAATAATATCCCTCTTTACTTTGTCGTTTTTATATTTTATTGATATTTTTACATTAAAAATTCATTTATTCATGTTAAATTTTAAGAAAATAATTATATGTTTTTCATATATTTTTTAAAAAGAATAATGTGGACGAATAACAATTGAATTCAGATTTGAATTATTTGGTAAATTTTTCTAATAATTGTTATAGCATTTAAAATTTAATATTAAATTAAAAATAAAACGAGGTTTGAATGCAAAATGCTTTTAAACAAAATATACAGTCGATATTCGATAAAAGGGCTATTTGATATAAGTATTTATTTAATAAAAGAGTATAAATAACAGGGAGGTATCTTATTGAATATTGAAAAAAATCAAAAAAAACAATAATTTTTATTTTTACTATTTTTAATTATTTCTTGTCCAAAACCTTAAAATGGTAAAACACAAACCAAATTGTCGTTTAGTTAAAAAATAAAATAGATTTTAAATTTTATTTAAAAGCAAATAAGTTTTTTATTTAAAAAAACAGTTAATACACACTGTTTTGGTGTGTATTAAGGTGTAGTTGGAGTGTGTTAAATTGTTATAAAACAACGCGTGTTTATTTTGAAAACCAAGAGTTGTCATACTGCTTTTCATATGTTCAGTTTAAAGACCGTTTATGTTATTATCAATATTTTTATTTTTAACGGATGTTTTGTGTTTTAAAAAACACTAATAAAATAAAGTATTTGTTTTTCATATTATGATTACTTTAACATGTTGAGTAAAAACATCAAATTAAAATTAATGTATCACAACATTTCGAAAATGTGTTAAGTTAAACAACTTTGTTTTTGTATCAATAAATTTTATTTGTTGTTAATTGTTATGTTTGAAATAATTATAAAGTTATTAATTATTATTATAAACATTTAATAATTGATCAGAATAAATTATTTTCATCTTGTAATAATTTTTATGTACTTTTTGTTAATAATAAAAGCATATAAAATAATAATGAAAAGGCCCCGTAGCACAGTCGGTAGTGCATCGTACTTATAGAATAGAGATATGCGAGGGTCGCGGGTTCGATCCCCGCTGGGACCATTTTTTAATGAAAGTTTGATATTTTTAAGTTATACAAAAAAACTATTATTTTTATTGTAAAATTTTTATTATTCAAATCTGATTTCTATTTAACGATATTTTAAAAATGCAACAAAACAATTTTAAAACAATGGTTTATTATATTATAATATATAGTATCGACCATTATTAATTAATGACTTTATCATTAAATTCTGTTTTAAAATTTAGGAATTATCCAATTAAAATGTTATTCGAAAAATTTTTGTTTTTAAAGTTTTACAAAATCGTTTGTTGTGTTTTATTTGAACAATTTTTTTTTAAAAAACATCCAATAAACTTCAATTTGTTAAAAATATTGGACAGTGTTAAGCTTAATGTTCATTTTTAAACTTTAATTAAAACTCGAAATATACAAATGAATCGATTAAATGTAACCTATATGATAATCATCTCGGAATATTTTCAAGACATACAAGACTTTGTTAATTTAGAGTTAGTGAGCAAAAAATATCAAGACAACATGGAAAAGTTCAATTACAACCCGATTCCATTAACAAAGAAAACGATTGCTTATTTTCCTAACATCGAAACATTAAACTTATGGAGCACAGAAGATGAGAGCTTTGGTATTTCAATAACTCAAACTTCGAACAAAGGTCTTTCCTTTCTATTTAAAAACTCAACCAAACACTATAAGTTTCAAAAAATTGTCGTGTGGTTTGAAGTCGACGTGAAAACAGCAAGCAAAAACACCAACCCAAAAATTCAATACAAAAACGTACCATTTCGATCGTATGATTGCACAAAAAACACAGAAAAAATAGCAGCAATAGTCACTTCACTTTATGAAAACTGCTATTCTAACTGTGAAAAAATTCGCAATATTGTTATTCCGCCGAGTGTCACATCAATAGGTGAATACTGTTTTAATAATTGTAGTTGTCTAAGTAATGTAATTATACCCCAAGTGTTGTTACTGTTGGTAATCACTCTTTCGATGGGTGTTTCAGTCTTACTAGTGTTTCAATTCCATACAGTGTCGTCTCTATTGGTAATTTTTGTTTCAACGAATGTAGTAATTTGCGCACAGTGACTCTATCAGCAAGTACTTTAAGACTTGGAGATTTTTGTTTCAACAAGTGTTCCAATTTGAGTCAAATTAAACTTCCTTCCACTTTAAAAACGTTCAATTCTTTATATCACAACAACTGCGGAGATTTGGAGGATTTTGATCAAATAGAAGAGTCTGGAAAAGAAGTCTTTTTCATTGGACCAAATATACCAAATCCGTATATCATTTGGGTGTATTGTTTTGTACTCTTTCCTAAACAAATCAGTGAAGAACCTTTATTCACACAATATGGGTCTTTATATGATTTAATGAGAAATAAAAATTCGTATGATATCGACACTATAATGAAAGTAAAATTGATGTTGGATACCGCTAAAGGGTTGTCGTATCTTCACGAATTTGGATTTGTACACTGCAAGTTGTCGTCGTTTCATGTGTTTGTCAATTCACTTGATTTTAAAGACGATGTGAATGGAAAGTTAACTTTATTTAACAATTATAAAGATCTTTATTGTTTATTGAAAAATGTCGATAATGGATTTGAACCGTCAGTGGGTTCTGGGATACCAGTTTATATGGCACCGGAATTAACTGACTCTAAACCCACTACGGCTTCTGACGTGTTTGCGTTTGCAATTATAATTTTGGAGTGTTTAACATGGAAAAATGCATATAACGAGAAACAATTTAAATATCCATCAAAGATTATTGGTTTTGTTAAGAATGGAAATCGACTTCCTATTGATATTGATAATGACGACATAAAGATTTTAATAGAAGACATGTGGAAACAAGAATCACAATATAGACCAAATATTAATACCGTTGTAGATAGACTTATAAAAATCTATAATGAATTCAACTGATTCTTGAATGAATTTTTATTATTGTTTTGTTTTTTTAACAATATTTGTTTATTGAAATTGATATTAATTGGTTTATAACTACATGAAAATCATTTTATTGTTTTTTGTATTTTTTGATATCAATTAATAATTTATAATATTCATTTTGAAATATGATAACACCCATTTAATTTAATTCACTTGTTAAAAACATATATTAACTCCAACTTAAAATTTGACTTCTTGCAATTGATTATCATAAAAATTAATTAATATAATAGAGTCTGTTTAAACTATATTTAAAAATGATGAATTTTGTATTTTCTGGTTAACTGGTTATTATCAAAATACTTTGGGCCTGCACTTTAATTGTATTTGCCCAACTTTTAACTTAAAACCAGACCAAAAATTTCAAAGAAAATGTGATGTAATCACATTTTTTTTGTTATTGGAAAAACAACCTTTGTATGTAAAGTATTAACAACACAAAATTACATATTAAAACATTTTTATTGATTATGTACATACCTAAAATCTAATGTAAAAAGATCATTATTGTAAAAATATTTATGAAAAGTGTTCAGAAACATGTTTTTAAAAACTTGATTTATATATAATTGCATTTGTGCTCCTGTCACATTTCGAGTAATTTGCTAATAATGTCAATTTGTAGTGTCATTTTTAAGTATCATATAAAAGAAAAACATTCTCATCGAGTAAACTCTAGAATACTGTTTTTTAATTTTTTAAATGAAATTTTAGATATGTAAATATATGTATTATTATTATTTCGATATGTAAACATAAATAAACTATTCAACATACGACTTAGATAAATATTTTTTATTATAAAAATGTATTTTTTTATAAAATATTTTATATCATTATTTTTAACTGTGTATTATCAAATTTGTTAAACGTATAACTCAAACTAAGGCATAAATTATACACGATAATTTTATCGGTATTGAGTGAACTAATATTTGTCGTTTAAGTTGTATAAATTATATATCATATTTATTTAAAATTGTTTTTAATTCAAAGAAAAATAAAACCTTATAATCGTGAGGCCTCTTAGCATAGTTGGCAGTGCGTTTCCCTAGTAAGGAAAAGGTCGTGGGTTCAACTCCCACAGAGGCCTTAATATTTTAAAAATACAAAAAATCTTTAATGAAAATTTTAAAGCTCGTTTCAATTAAATAATATATTTATAACATTGTTATTATTTAAATAATTGTTTTTTATTAATAAATAATTTATTTATTCTGTTTTTTAATTTATCATAATTCTAAATTATTTTTATTGTCATTTTTATTGTTTTATAATTAATTTTTATAGTTGTTTTTAATTCAGTTTCATTTGAAATTATAATTTGTTTTTTTTGGACGATAAAAAGAAAAGCGAAAAGGAAAAACGTAATGTAGTGCAAAAACAATAGTTTTATTTTATTGTAAACATCAAGCATTAGGTAAAACATGGAATCAACTTAAAACATAAAAAAGGGTATGGTTGCATGGTTTACTAATACATTTTATTACTTATAGTATGAATAACTTAATAAAAGTGGCTGTACTATCATTATTTCAAATAATTGGCAAACTACTATTATCTAGTAACATATTTAAATATACCCCTTTCTATTTATTAAAAAATTTGATTATATGAAAACTAAAATATATGTACTATTTACATATAATCAAATATTCTTATAAAATAATACAAATTGTTAATTTATACAACATCTTTTTTATATTGTTTGTGTATTTTCATTTCTTTTGTTTTCATTTTGCTATTTTAGAAATAAATAGTAGTATATACCATACATATAGTTTCAATTGTTTTATTTATTATATTTTATTAAAATAAACAAATAATAAAATAACTCTTTTACAATTAAAATGTAATAAAAAAACTAAAACAATTAGTTTTTAGAACCATTAAAAAAATGGAAGTTTAGATCTAAAAACGGAGAACAAACCACCAAAATTCCAAAAATAAATATTTCATTCCATTATTTAAACGAAAATTCAAAAAATTATATCTGAATTAATTGTTGAATGTTGTTTCTCTGTGTTCTCTTATTTATTTCAGCATACTCACAAAATACTTACCTGTACGTAGCACAAGACGTTGATTGCCACCAATACCCACGTAACAGGAAATACAAAATGGATACATGCATTAAGACTGGTACTGGTTCGACAATATGGACAACAAATGATTGGACTTATTTCCAGAACAAATCGTACACAACCCCAGATTGTTCTGGAGAACCATTGGAATACTATGCTCCTTCGTCGAGTGATTGGTTCAACGTTGATTTGAAAAACAATCCATTAGCTTTTGTTTCGGACAAGAATAAAGGGTGTGAAGATGGAGAAACGATTGATGGTGTTTATTATAACGACGAGTGCTTTTTGATATCAGGATGGTATAAATATTTTATTGTCAAAGAAAATGGAAAAAGTTATCTCAAAAAGGGTTTTATGATGAATGACTGTAATGGTTCTCCACGTGAATATACAGAAAGTTATATTTGCAATAAATGCACATATGGAGTATTGGTTAAGTGTTATAATGTTGATGGAGATATCGATCGCACTGAAGCGTATGCAGAGGGAGAAATACCAAGTCCAGGATTCGAACCAAACCCAGACAAAGA